AAGAAGAAGAAGAAGAAGAAGAAGAAGAAGAAGAAGAAGAAGAAGAAGAAGAAAAGAAGAAGAAGAAGAAGAAGAAGACATGCAGTTTGAAACTGGCGATTGAAGGCTCTCTGGAACGAATGTAACTGAGCTAGGCATACCAAGAAGCCGTTATTGTTTAAACTTAGTTACTTCGCTACTTTAGAACTACAAAGTTACAGTCCCTAGTTTTGAGGAGTTTGACGTAAAACATTTTTAGTTACGCTACGTGTCTAGCTTTTTCGAATGCGTATCTTTGAAAAATAGGAACATCTCAATGAACACCAAAATGAAAGTTCTGAAATGCTATGTTTGGTAAACGCTTCTATATGGCTGTGAATGCTGGACAATCACTAAAGGCTGTGAAAATAAAATAGAGGCAACAGAAATGTGGTTTCTTAGCAGACTGCTTAGAGTATCGTGGAAGGAAAAACAATCAAATGAGGTAGTGCTTGATGAAGCTCACGTGGGACGTTCAGTGTTAAAAACAATCCGGAAACGACAAAAGCAGTTTTTGGGACACATAAATAGACATAAGGGTTTTGAACATCTAGCTCTCACTGGCAAAATTGAGGGCAAGCGAGGCAGGGGAAGGCCCAGAACAACATACTTAGGGAAACTAAACAAATGGGTAACAGGAAAAGATCAGGGAAACGTAGCTTTTTTTAGAGCATCCCAGCAAAGGAATGAACGGAGAACCGTGATCGCCGATGTCTGTCGCAGATCTGGCACTGGATGATGATGATGATCTTTGAGCATCTGGATAATTACGTCGAATAATCTTACGATTTGGATAGTTCAGAGAGAGCAGTAAAGTTTCTGACCTCATGGCCTTATATAGTAACTCAAAACAAATTTATAAATTCTCAGATAGAACGTTGTGATTCTAAGCTAACGACTAGCAAAGAATAATTTTAGAAGTGAACCTGTGGGTGTGTGAGTTGACAGCGCTATTCCGATAATAAAGATCTTAAAAACAATCTTAATTAAATGTATAACAAAGGAACTTTTACTTTTCTTTGCATCATCATAGTTAAGTCCAAGATCGAAGTGACAGTACATTGTCTTTGCGCAATTGTTTATCACAGTCCTGTATACAGTCAAACGCATTTTTATCTTGTTTAATTTGACATTTTAAATGAGTGTGTTGTGGGTGGGTGTGTGTGTGGGGGGGGGGGGGGGTCCTTGGGAGTAAATTTGACTTTTTAAATGTGTATTTTTTTCCCTCAGGTGTAAATTTGACTTTGCAGCATTCCAGAAACACTTGAACTTTCGCATTGCCGGCCTGGCCTATTTCCATAGCCGCCAGGACGCTTTTGCAAGATCGGTGAGTGACCTCGGTAGTCTAGTAAAGTGGTTAGGCTACCAGACTCGTATTCGTGAGGTTGCAGGTTAAGGGTTCGAGCCTCAGGCTCGACATTATGTCCTTTGGAAAGGCACTTTACACGATTTTACCCCCTACACGATCCAGATGGGAATGGGTGCCCAGCTAAAGACAGCGAAAGATCTTGTCAGTACGTTTGTGTTTTAGCTCCTAATGGCAGCTTGCGCTATATGCTTCCCAGGAAGTTGAGATTGTCTCAGAATGCTCTCAGGTCAGCTGGGGTAATATTTAATATTACATTGTAAAGCGCATAGAGCTTGATGCTGAGCGGGAGTTTGCACTATGCAAATGCTATGCTTCATTAGTTGAAATAATATGGTCTGACACTTGAAGGAGAAGCAGAATAATTTGCTTATTTTCTTTTCATTCTTTCTTTCTCACTCCCTCTTCATCAGGTGATGTTTAGAGGTCTTGAGAGAACGAACTCTACCCAAGATGCAGCTCAAGTATGCGCAGGAGTACCTGGCTACGCCGACCCGTGCCCCAGTCCATGCCCTGTGTAGTGAACATTACTCC